TGATAAAGGGCATTTAAAACAAAAAGAGTGGACCCAAAGAGCCTTACAATCACAGCAGATGTATAGGCTATAGTGGATATTGACACAGTCATGGTGCAGACTCAGACTGAACTAAAAGCAAAGTAAAAATAGTGAAGTTCTGAAAGTTTGATTTAAAATGATCAGTTGTGGGAGTTGAGAGGATTGGTCCCTTGGCATTTAAAGCGTTAGAGGGCGACTACAAGGAAAAATGTTGTGAAGCTGACCTTTAAGAATATGGAATTAAAAGGTCAGTAATTTATTCTGGATGCAAATCATTGAGGGCTTTTATAAACAGCTGTGCCAGAACAGGAGTGATGTATAGTCACTGGAAATGAGCAACATTAAACCATTGTTTTTGGGTTGTAGTAACTAATCGTGGAAATGTATCATTTTGTGCAACGATTGATAAACTTGATCAAATATATGAAAAAGAAAATATCTTTTGGGTGGCAGCCCAAACTGACTGAGTATCAGCAACAGACATGTGAGATGATGAACGGATTATAGGGCAGAGGACAAGCTGTTTACTTTTACAGAATATTTGCTTTTGCTTGTGAAATCCTGGAGAATACATCTGTCTGCCACTAAACACTGTTCAAATGAGACCATCTGAGAGGGAGGATACAGACAAATATAATCTGTGCCGATTTCACTCTAAGGAGTCTTAGCGCAAGAAAAGTAGTACCCAGTGATTTCTGTTGTGATCAAACACAGCCATCATCATTATTACATGAATCCCACCTGTGAGGAGAAACAGCATGAAGAATGAAAGCGCAGCATCTGTTCTGAAGTGTCGTCCCCATCTTAATAAACACATGCACACATTCAAACACACATGAAAAAACAATCTTACCTGCAGAAGGTCTTCGCTCAACACCTCGGTTTTTTCTGCCCTGTAGAGACAATGGTGCGGAACAGTTAGAAGATCCAGATGAGGAGACAACACAGAATTTAGCTGATGCTTACATTTTCATGTTGTAAATAAGCAGCACTATGATCTGTGATAAATATCTGGTGTAATGGCTCCGTCAAATATTAAACTTCAGGCAGCTCGGAGTATTGATAAGGTCAGGAAAACCAAAAACTGTCAAAGTGATTTACATTTTTTATGAAACCACATTCAGGTCACATAACAAGCTTCACAGACAGTAGGTTGAAATGTTACAGATCATGTTTGTTCCTTTAGACATCAGAGCCCGACCGATTTATTAGTTGACTGGTAAAAATTGGCTGATATGAGCTTTTCATATTAATAGTAGCAGATATGAAATGTTTTATCTTATTACAGAATAAACAATTAAAAAATGTTTGCATTTCTATGAAAAAATTATGTTTTCAATCTCTTTATATTTGTCTGCATTCTAATTTTCTCTTTATTTACATGTATGTAAAATAAAGTTGATTGTTAAACGGCAAGCCTCAATTACATTCCTTTGGTATGAGGGTTTGATAACAACATCAAAACAACTTCTGATAAATTCATAATCCATCAGTTAGCCTCTAATAAAAAAAAAACATCTCACGATTTTCCTTTTTTTAATGAAACACATATAAATTCCATCTCACATAATACAATGACATGTTAATTGTTGTCTATCACATGGCATTTGATGCAAAAAAAAATCATTCATAATATTGAGTCTCTGTCAAAATGTTTCTCGTTGTTAAACAAGGTCTGAGCTGTTTTGCAGTGCATGTAAAGGTCTCATTCACTGTGATGTTGAACATCACCAGCGTGTCAGTGCTCCAGAGAGGCTGCACCATCCGTGCACATCCGTCCCTTCCCTTAGGAGCATGAGAGTGGGAGAGTGCACGTGTTTGAATGGTCGCGTTGCTTATGATCTTCGACAATACATAGTAACAGCATATTAATTATCTGGCAAACAATTCATGTCGTAAACCCGCTGAAGTGTTCAAACCCACGAGCTTGAGTTAAACAGGCAGGAACGGCGGTGAAGGCCACTGACTCAAATCTGTCAGTTCCCAGCGAGGAGCATCACGTCCCACTGTGAATCCATCAGACTGGGGACTTTGCCAAAGTCTGAAAAAAGGGGCAGAGCTGCACTGCCGATGCAGCAGATAAAACTACTCATGCAGGATAGTGATAGCTATAAGCTATCTATATATATATAGAATAAGGTGTCAGCTCAGTTCAGAAAGCTTACATTCAAAGAGTTTAGTTCTTTTGTTAGAACTTCTATAATCCTTACAGCCTTCTATAATCCCATAAAATAAATCAAATAGGCACATTTTCCCTTTGGACTGGCTCTAATACAAGTGAATTCCAGTAGGATTTGTTTTCCAGGAACATATTTGGACACATAACAGTAGATATATCTAAAGCAACAATCCAGGAGCTATCAGGAGCATCTAATCAGAGCGGAGGAGAACATGTACTTCCTGCTTGGAAAAAGGGGCCTGCAGTCTAACAAGGGAGGGGCTGCTTTGTCAGACAGTCTGACCTCTGAAAAAGAGTCTAATCCAGACCTGCGGACCCCCAACAACCACCCAGTGGTGCACATACTCTCTCATCACTTCCTCTTCCTGTCTGCACAGCCTCTTCCTGCTATTGTGCCCTAACCATGCCAATGCCAATTGCAAATAGCTTTTTTTTGTATCATTTATTCTAAAACAGCTTCTGAATGTATCTCTCCATTGACCAAGAGAAAGGAGGAAACAGACCTTGGTTTGAGCTTCATTATTCATCAGTCAGATGAAAATACACCAGCAGCACATAACTAAAATGCTCTCTCCATGTATTTGTTCATGTCAAATGCCCTTTTCAGGTCTGTCAAATGAAGTCTGTCGAATACAGCAGAGCAGCTCTGTGTTGTCCAGTGAGGAATTACACTGTGTATGTTTAATGTTGACATGCATTAGCGTACACATATTCCATACATTGTTGCCAACAACAGAGAGCTGAACTTTAATTATGTCAGTTATTAGCATCCCTGGTTCTCAGTGCCAAG